GCATGTACACGTGGCTGGCCGTGATGGGCTTCACTGTGGTTGCACCGTCGAAAAGTGCGCAACTGTTTAGTGTATCGGCAAGAGGGATTCCGCAGAATCGTCGTCGGTTGCGCACTTGTTTAGCGCGTCGGCTGTGACACGAAGACGGGTTGATTGATTTCAATGGTGTATGTTGCATTTAGAGCAGGTGTTTAGTGTGTCGGTCGTTGTAGTCGACGACGAGATCATTGAATGTCGTCCTCTATTCTGTTTTTATAATCGCAGTTCACTGTGCGAGAAGTTCATAGCGCTTTTAGCGCACCCTTTTTTTTATGTGATGTGTCCGCTGTTCTCGTCTCTTCTGTGGAATGATTTAAAGATGATTGCAGATGATTGCCTCCTATGCGTGCATACAATCCATGTTCATCTCTCTCTGTGTTTGTGTTTCGTCGTTAACTAACATTAAGCAACTTGCATCAACAATTTGAACACCCATGTTTGACATCCCGCCAGAGAACCACACGAAAACATTCGTGGCAAACGAATTGAAGAAACACACAAAAAAAATAAAAAAGAAAATGAAGAGATACAAAAAAAAAAAAAAAACTTCCCACCACACCAAACCATTCGAGACAGACGATTTCAAGACACACATAAAAAAAATAAAAAAAATTGAGAGAGACAAAAAAAAAAAGGTTCTTCCAATATTAAACATTCGTACAACTGTACGAACCACGCAACCGTCCACAGGATGAAAACAAGAAAGGAAGTCACAGACGACAACCATGCCGCCATACAATCGACCCAACAACTTCGCGCACGACGCCAATGGACACGGACCACGTGTCAATTCCACCCGCCTGCCAATCGCACCAACCCACGTCCTCTCGCCCCCCCCCCCCCGCTCCCCCTCCCGTCCGCACGGTCATACATCAGAGCTAGGCGGTCTCGAAGTGCATCCTGCAACAAGTCCCCGTCCACGTTCGTGCTCCGTCGCTGCCCGCCCGCGCTGTTCCCCACAATGCCCACGTCTACTCTACGCCAAATGCCATTCTCATCCACCTCCCACAAAAGGTTCTCATCGAAGTCGATCCCCGCATCGAGGAGGATGTTGTGGAGAGTGCACACGGCCACGAATTGCTGTGGCAAGGTCTCCAGGTTCGTCTTGTGGGTGCGCAAGAACAAACGCCACCTGCACTTCAGTCGCCCGAATGCCCTCTCCACAAACCCCCGCGCCACCTTCTGCCGCGTGTCGAAGCACTCCTTGTCACGATCTTGGTCGATTCCTCCATACGACTGCACGATCCATGGACAGGCAACTGGGTTACTGTTGTTGCCTAGCAGGTAACCTCGCGTGACGACACCGTGCGGCAGATTCTTCGGAGGTGCGTCGAACAACTCACCAGCTTCTGCACGCCTGCAGGACACAGACGTCGTGCATTTTTCCCGGGTATCCGATGTGGACGTCGAGGATCCGCAGATCCAAATCCACCACCACCTGCGCCTGCATGGAGAACTTCTGTTTGCGTTCGTAGTAGTTGTGTGCAGGGTGCGCCGACGGGCTTGTCAATGTAGATGTGTGTACAGTCGATCGCGCCGAAGCAGTTCGGAAAACCCTTGTCACGGAATGCGCGCAGAATCTGCGCACGTCTACGGCCAACTGACCACTTGATCGCGTCGGGGTATGCCTGCAGCAGCGCCAAAGTGACGTCGCGGACGGCCTGCAGTCCAGTTGCCCTGCCGATGCCGAAGGCTGACATGCCGCTCTCGTACGTCTCTCCTGACGCCCACCTGTACAACGCGAAAGCGATCACTTGCTCCACTGGCAATGACATCCTATAGTGCGTCACCTTCTTCTCTAGGTACGCAGCGCACGCGGCTACGATCTGATTGAACATGGCCATCGACATGCGCAACTTCTGGTGGTAGTACTCGTCTGTCGCGTCATCACAGAGGCGAGATCCTCCCATGTTCCGCCAGTCCGTCGTTTAATCCACCAACGCGGGGGCTGCCATGGGAAAACGCCAGATGACAGCGCGACACACAACTGGACGACTGCCTCACACGTGACCATGCAATCTGGCGCTTCGGCAATGCGCTGCAACAGCGCTCTTCGTTTACAGAGCTGCGTCAGCATGTCGCGTGAGGACGACGACATGTCGCTCATCGTGTTCACGACGACGGCATTAACCGTCATCGCCACCGCGTCGATCTCCTTTTCGCGCAGACCGTGCTCGCTACCGCGAACGTCCATCTCTGTGAACCGTTCCGCCCCCACAGCGTGACGCCTGCCACAACCGCAGAAGACATGCCTGCTGCTTAACCCTGTCGCAGGAGACCACGCACGCCGGACCCGTAGATGCGCTCGCTGCCGTACGCTGCCATAGGAGATGGCGTACACCGGAGTCGACGACGCGCCCGCTGCTCTACGCTTCCACAGGACAGCAAGCACGGCGGAGGTAAAGATGCGCCTTGCAGGAAGATGCCCCCGCTGGTCACAACTTGCGTGGAGTCGGAAGATGGATACCCACGCCGAACGGTTCGCCAGCGCCGTCTTTTGTACGTCACACGCGTCGCCTGACCGTCCTCCGCCCTGCCGCCCTGCGTCCGCGAGGATTCGAATTTGAATTTTTGAAGTTCGGGGTGACCGCGCTTTTCACCCGCCCCTCCTCACCCGCCCAAGGCCTCCGCAGTGTGTACCACAGACACCAGCCAGGACCCGACGAACATCGGCGACGCGGCTGCGTATACGAATATGAAAACAGGCCGCGGGAGACCTTTTAGGACGAATCCTAAAAGTTGATTTTTAGGACTGCGTGTAAAGACGCCGCACGAAATCCTAAAAAACCTTTAGGACTCGTCCTAAAAAAGTTAGGATTCTTTTAGGAGTGTCTAACGAGACCCTAAGTTCGAGTCTACAGCTAGCACTCTTCTAGCCATCTTCGAGTAGCCACAGCCACGATGGTATCGAAAAGGTTTGTCCTTCGTTTTGGGTAGTTACCGAACACTCTCCGAAGAGGAGGAAGGCAAACTGGTTAACCCCTTTTCTGAATTTCTGTTAACGATAATTCTCCTGTGAAAGTGTACTTTGGTTTACCCTGTGCTAGGAGTGTGATGGGTGTGCGCTGAGTTGGGCACCCGCCTTTGATGTGTTAAGTGTGAGCATCTTAAAGTATTGACTTACTCACGGGTGCGCAGCCCGTAGTTCGCTTGTTGATGCAGTTGGGGAAGGATGGGGTAGTGATTATGGCGTGTCAGCGTCTTAAAGTATTGACTTACCATGAGGGCACGGGTGCACAGCCCGTAGTTCATTTGTTGATGCGGTTGGGGAAGGATGAGGTAGTGATTATGGTGTGCGTATGTTTTGCTATGTTCGCTGTACACAACTCGAAGAGTGTGTGTGGGGGGTTCTGGCTGGTGCTCTATTAACGGTGTTCATGAGATGCTGGACCCAGTTTCCAGCAGGTGCCACTCCCCACAAATAGACATCAGAATGTGTGTGTGTGTGTGTGTGT